TGCTCCCAAGGACAGAAGCTCAGACTTGCAAGTCCAGCCTGGTTTTGTTGAGAGCAGTGAACTGAAGTTAGTCAATGGGAAAATGATTCTTGGTTCTCCCTTTCCTGTAAATGTAAAGAGAAAGTGGCCAAATGGCCATTTAGGAGCAGAAGCCCAGAGGGGTGGGGAAGAGCCCATGTTTGATCTAAAGGCTGATGTAGCAGGAGGTCTAGAGGGAGGGACTTGTTCTGGTCCTTTAAAGAGACAAGGGAATGAAAGCATGACCAAGGGACTGGTGGGCAGTGATGACTTGCTCCAAGCCCTAGCATTGGATCTTAAAAAACACAAATGCCATTCCCATAAGAATAAAAAGCAGTTTCTTAGAGATTATTTTCATAAGAAACCATATCCTAGCAGAAAAGAAATAGAACTGTTGTCTTTACTTTTGGGGGTAGGGAAAATGAATGTCGCTTCATTTTTTCGAAAAAGAAGGTATATTTGCATGAAAACAATAGAAATGTACAAACCCACTGTACTTCTAGGCTTTGACATGTCTGAACTTGGAAATGTTAAACACAGGTTGAACTTTGAGTCTGAACCACAAAACTCAGCTTAAAGTCCTAGGCAGTAGTTTGTGTTGACTTTGGACACCCTCCTTTGCTCTGTTGTTGTATATCTATGGCTCTGCAGAGTGTTCAGAAAGACTTAGTTAAGGAAGCAAATCCTACTTCAGATGTAGTTTCCTGCAGTTCAATCTCCAGCGCTACCTCTGGGTTTTTTTGTCATGTAAATTAAAATTTTGGTATTCCATACATGCCTTGTTTTCCTAGAAGCTTCAATACCAAATAATAAAACCCTGAGATTTACAAATACTTGCCTATTTGTTTTAGGAAGCATCTTGTTTGTGTACACTTTATTAGCTGAAAATTAGAGCATTGTTCTGCAGCTTTAGAGGCAGCAGCTAAGGACACAGTACATACCTAGAGACTCAAGTACTGTGATGTTTATGACTCCGTATGGACACATTTCTGAGTATTAACATCTGCTAATTCTATAAAAGCTATTTGCTTATGAGGTGATAATTTTGATTTGCATTTGTTCAGATTCTGAAAGGTTTGCCCGTGTGTAGACCATATTTGAAATGGAACACAGATTTTAGGCTCAAAGTGAAGGGGGTAGATCAGAGGCTGTCTTGATGGTTGGAACAACTGGGTAGATGTGTTGGTTAAAACAAAAAGAGTTGGGAAAATGGGCTTTCCTCTGGTCCAGGTATCCAGATGAGTGGTATGGGGGATTGCCGAAGAATCTCGGTTGTATCATTGTCTTGGGGATGCCAACACTGTTTTCCAAATAACATAAAGTAAAGCACCAGATCTAGTAATGTAGACCAGCCAGCTTTAGTTTATATTGGGTGATGTGCAGGGAAGAGCTTGTCTCTCCTTTCAGGTGAAGTACTCAGAGGGTGTGAGGCCTCTGGGAAGTACTACAGTGTTACTATGTGAATAGAAAAAGGGAACATTTGCATATAATGTCTGCACTGTGCTTTTCGGCCTTGTGAATTTGTTCTATTGGTGTGCTCCTGTCAATTCTGAGAGTTTGTTGGACTTTAAAAATCCCATTATGCGTGTCTGTTTTGAATTAAAAATTGTTATATCACTACCAATAAAAGTGAAGTTTTTTTAATGAAAAAAGCTGTGTTTTAAAAGGAACTGTATAGGGGATTCATCATTGTATACTGAATAAATATATAATGGTTTGAGTCTTCCACAGAATATTATGAAATAGCAAAAGGGAAAGAAATAGCCCCATACACAGTATGTAGCAAAGTCTGCTGTTGAGTGAAAGGTATAAAATAGGGAAAGGTATGTGTAGTACAGTTCTACCGTACGATTCAAAACCAGGTAAAGCTGAATAATCTCATTAGGAAAATAGCATTGGGTAGCAAAATGGTGAAGGAAAAGATTAAAATTCAGGAAAAAGATTATATTCCTGGGAAAGGAATGGTGTATGCCTTTAATTCGAGTACTTGGGTGGCAGAGGCAGAATTGCCCAAGTCCACGTGGCACATCTACAATGCAGCCTCTACCCCGAAGGCTCACGGAACATAGAACAAGCGGTAAAGAGGACAGTAATATCTCAGTTCTCATTAATGAAGCTCCCTCATGCAACAGGGCCAGGAACACAAAAGGTCACAAATGACCAAAGTGTAGAGACTTAAGAGTCTGCAGAATGCTGGTCCTTGGATAGGACTCTTATCCTCTTCATTAAAAATGAGGTTTAAAAAAAAAATATTTTATTTGTGTGAGTGTATTGCCTGCATGTCATGCAGTACCCGTGGAGGTCATAAGAGGGAGCTGGATTCCCCTGGATCTGGAGTTACAGATGGTTGTTAGCTGTCATGTGGGTGCTGGGACTCTAACCCAGGTCCTCTGCAAGAGCAGCGGTGTTCTTGAGAATTGAGCCATCTCTCCTGTCCTGCTATAACCCTACAAATTTGTTTACATGCTATTTGAGGCCAACTTTACACCACAAAGGCAGAGTTGAGTAGCAACAGAGACCATGTGACCTGCAAACTTAATATTTGTTATCTGGTTCTTTACATACAAAATATTTCCAGCACCTAGATTAGAGAAAGATGGAAATACCTTTGAGTTTTTGAAGCTGAAACAGTAGGCACTAGGAACTTGAGATTAGATGGGTATGACAGATTTGAGAGCTGAGGAAATGGTACACCTTGATGGCTTTATATCCACACCACATAATAATATACATTTATGAAGGCCAATCTTTTAAAAAGCCATCCTTTTTTATTTTCAGGAGTTTATAATCCCAAATGGGTTCAAGCCAAGGGAAATGATGTAGGCTAGACCACTCAGGGAAATGATGTAGGCTAGACCACTCCACCCTCTGGCCGAACCCTTTCATGCAGTACACAGCCTATACAACTACAGGGCCCTAACAAAGGTGAAATGCTAATAGGCAGATACAGAGGAAGATCCTGAGGGAGCAGCATAGCCCCAGGGCTAAGAGAACAGTTAGCATCATTCAATAATCCTTTGTGCTCACAAAACTGCTTCTTCAACCCAACTGAGCTGTTTCATTTGTGAAGTGAGGACACTGCAGCACTTGCCGTCAATCTTAGCATTGTTATAAAAAATACTGGAGACCAGATGGGGTGTGATACTTGGCACAGTGCATAGTATCTAGTAGGTCTTGAGAAATTCCAGTTATCATACATGGGGCAAGGTGGTTGTATTGACTGATGGGGAAGACAGATGTAGCCATGTGCCTCTAGGACATACTCACTCCTAGAGGGGTTCAGGAAACATTCACCAGCATATGATAATTTGTGGTTATGCCAAATGAGATCCATATGGAGAAATACTATAGGATTTCAAAGGAAGAAGGGTACCACATCATTTGTCTTGGGTCCATTAGACAGTAGGCACTGAAATAGAGGATGTTATTTAATCTTCACAAAGGAAGAAAAATGAGGCTCATAACTTGTGACTTGCCGAAAATCACACATTTAGTTAAGTGCTCAAACCCAGGCTCTCACTTTAGCATTTACTCCCTAGACACTAATGTCCTCATTGATATGAGGGAAGGCTTCAAAGGGGGTGGGACTTGAAATGGCCCCCATAATAACAACGGGCTCAGTGTAGGAGATGGGTTGAGGTGCCATCCTATTAAGGAGGCTGTGTCCATCAAAAAATGTAAAAGATAATTTTATGTGTGACATATTCTCCACCCCCCTCCAATGAACTACTGAGATCATCCTGTCTTCTCTTCTCTGTTCTGGAGTTACAGGTACATGAAACCACACCTGACTTTTTTCATGGATACTAGAGATCTGAATTCAAATCTTATGCAAGCACTTTACCTACTGAACCAATTCAAATCTTATGCAAAGCACTTTACCTACTGAACCATCTCCCCTGCCCAGTTTTATGTTTTTTAAAGGTATGTAATTCTTTGGAAAGCCAGGACTAGAAAGAAAAATACTCTTGATAAACCACATCACTTAGTACTATACGAAGTCATAGTTTCCCACAAGTGATGACTTGCTTATGGTGTTGTGCTTCTTAATGTCCCTTGGTAATACAGAAGGACTGCAGAGTTTTTGCAAAATGGACCCAGGAGACATCCTCACTTACAAAGGAGCTTCACCCTTCAGTAGTTGATTTATGACTTTAAAAAGTGACTATATGCCGGGCGTGGTGGCGCACACTTTTAATCCCAGCACTCCGGAGGCAGAGGCAGGTGGATCTCTGTGAGTTCAAGGCCAGCCTGGTCTACATAGAGAGTTCCAGGCCTGCTCGGGCTACAGGGAGACCCTATCTTAAAGACCAAAAAAAAAGTGACTACATAAATGCCAAGTGAGAACATTCAATTAAAATGCAGTTAGTTAATTGTTCCCCTAGCCTATCTTCAGAGAGTACACAATGTACCTTAAATTTCAACTTTCCTTTTAAATGAAGATCCTAATTTGGTAACAGAGTTATAGATTAGCTTGCAACTCCATTTCCTATGCTTTTTCTATTTAATATTATTAATACCATATTTATTGAATTGGATGTGGAAGAAAATTTAAATCTTACTTTCTGGGCCTTCCCATGTTTTTCCTCTTAGGTTTTCTTGCACTCCTTCCTTTTAGGGCACAAAAATGCAAAGAGGGGCCTGAACCGATAACATAACCAATACTTCCCTCTTACACTTGGTTTCAGAATTTCCAGTGCTGGGGTGCTTATGTCCCTTTTAAGATGTTTTCATACACAGGAGAGAAAATATGTATGTGTGACCACATGTGACAGAATGCCTGCTGCAAATGCAGGATGAGTCATAGCTGAGTAATTGAATGAAGAGAGCCTCTATGCGGTTACCACAAAGATAATGAAGCACAGTAAGGCTAATTTCACATTAAGGCTAATTATTTTTTACTTGCTCCAAACAATGCTACATAGGAAGATAAATCACATAGTGGGAAGAAACGCTGCTTGTGGGGTGGGATTGGTTCTTACCTTGTTGATGATGTGTATCACTCCATTTGTGGCAGCATTGTTACCGTCAACAATAGATGCTCCCTGAATTGTGATATTCTGTATGTGCAAACCACAGTGGGAAGGTAAACACACCTGGGGGTTGAATTGCCTTGGGGAGGGGGTCCCATCTTTTGAGCACTAAGTGGCTTTCATGCTTTTGGGCCATTATGCATCAATTATGATTCTTTAGACATCACAGACAGACACAGGAAAAGAACTTTCCTCTACCTTGTGGCATGTATTCTGATAATTAGATCTATTCTACTCTATTTTAGTTCATTAAAAAGTGCTAAGTGAGGCTCATTAAAGTGATCTGGCAGTTTGGCAAGCACTGTAGACAGTGTTGTGGTCATAACCTCAGTTTGTGACCCCACATGGAGAATAGGATCTTTAGAGTGTTAATCAAGTAAAAATGAGGTCATGAGTGTGGTCCTAATCCAGTAGGACCGGTGTCCTTACGATTAGGGGAAATTTACACAGAGCTGTAGGAGATGGATGCCACACAATCAATAACGTGGACATCAACAAGCTGAGGGGCCAGGCCTGTGGAGCATCTCCTTCCCTTGCTGCCTTCACAGGGAACCAACTCAGGCCAACACCTTGATCTCGAACTTTCAGCTTCAGAAACGATGAGGAAATAGACTGTCCTCAAGCTCCCTCCTCGTCTGCGGTACACTCTTATAGTGGCCACAGCATACTAATACAGATAGTACAACGGACTCTCCTGGAAAGAATTCAACCACTTAGGATCATTAATTGCATGAGGAAGGGGGCTAAGTAAAGCCCAAGCTGCCTACCCTTCCAGTACCAACCAAGAGCAGCTGAGCTCCAGTCCCTTTGGTTTCCTCTCCTCTCCACCATTACCTCCCTTTGAAACTGTTCCTGTCATCTTGGGTAAGGAAGGAGACTTGCCTTTCCCTGAACACTCAAGTTCCATGAGCAGAGGTCACGGAGGAAACATTTCAGGCTACCTGACACATTTCTTGGTTAAAGGGAGACATTTAACCAAGACATTTAACTCAGTTTGTTCCCCGAGTTCAGGGACTTCAATCAAGAGCCTATAGAACCTGTGATGTGCTAGTTCAGGGCAGATGTTTAGTCAATGGTGCCAGGAGAATTGGTGGTCCAAAACACCAATGGATTAGCGTTACTGTAGCAATCACTTCACAATATGTGTGCACATGAAACTATGTTGTAATTTTAAATATGTAAGTAAAACAATAACTATACATATGTATTGGGCACACTGAGATATTCAGTACATTGTATACATGGTGTGATGATCCGCTTAGGATACTTGGACTGTCTGTCATCAGAACCAGTTTTTATTTCTTTGTGATGATGGCATTCAAATAATTTCTTCTAGCTTTGCTATTGGATTGATTGATTTGGGGACACTGGGGGCTAAATCTAGGGCCTCATACATGTCAGGCAAGCACTCTACCATCGAGTTCTACCATCTATTCCTAGACCTCTTTTTATTTATTTTATTTTGAGACAGGGAACCCATTAAGTTGCTCAGGCTGTCCTTGACCTCAATCTGTACTCTGGGAGACCCTGAACTTGTAATCCTGCCTCAGCCTCCCAAGTAGCTGGTATTACAGGCCTGTAGCCCCAAGCCTGGTTCAGCTTTTGATTTATATGCTATAGTATTTTTAACCATAAATACACTCTGTGCAATAGTCCATGGAAGGTATTCCTCCTAGCTAGCTGTGTCTTTGTACCCATTATCTTTATCCAAATTTTTACTTAATTCAGAAAAATAGCACTCAAAAACTAACACGAGTGTCACTGGAATTGTCAATTTTATAAAATGTACCATGGGATCACGTGTAAAGATTTTCTGGTTTCTAAAATAATTTACCTGCTGAACCACATGCTTAGGCTCAGCTCAAAGGATCCTTTTCCTGGTACTCACATACTCACAGAGCAAGCTGGGAAGTTTTTGAGCAGTGATTCTCAGATGTTTCTGCCTGTGGCTCATAAACCATGACATAGCAGTCCTCAGTGCCTGGTAGACCCCTCAGTCTTTACTTTCACTTGGTGCAATTCTCAGAAAGAGCGTTGGCACCGTGCCCCTGACAGCCAAACAGCCGGACTTCCCCCGGTCGGAATCAGTCCTTAACACTCTGGGAGTGCCAGACAATAAGGCTGGTCTGGAGGTCAGCTCTTCCCTTGCCACTGCTCTGTGCCCAGCACCAAGTTCCATGCCTGTTCAGAGCAGGTGTACCATATAGGTTTGTGGTCTGGCTAACTTGCTATGAAGTTCAGTTAACTGTAATGATTCCATTAAGAGGTCAGTTGTTCTTAGTTAACTACACACCAAAATTAAAGTTGTGGTATTGACCACCCTCTCTCCTTTCTGAGTCAGGCTGTGTCTGTCAGGAGCTTGGCTGGCCCACCAGTGGGAATGTAACTGCATTTTGGATCACTGCTTGTCAACTTGATGGGATTTAGAATCATCATGGAAATAAGCCTGTGGGCATGTCTATTAGGGAGTTTCTAGATTGAGTTAATGGAGGTGGGAAGACCCACCACACATGTGGTGGTATCATGCCATGGACTGAATGTAAAGGGAAAGATGAGACTGAACAGCAGCATTCATCTCTCTCCTTCCTGACTACAGATGTGATGTGACCAGCTGCTTCAAGGTCCTGTCACCATAGCTTCCCTGCCATGATAGACTGTTCCCTCAAACTGTGAGCCAAAATAAACCCTGAGTTGCTTTTCTCAGGTATTTGATCACAACAGTAAGAAAAGTAATACATTGCTGTAGTTTCTCTCTCTCTCTCTCTCTCTCTCTCTCTTTCTCCCTCCACCCAAGTGTGTGTGTGTGTGTGTGTGTGTGTGTGTGTGAGAGAGAGAGAGAGAGAGAGAGATCATTGTTGCAACTGGGTGATTCTCACATGGGGTTCTAGTCTGTGCACATATCTGGAAATTCACAACATCACCAAAATTTGGAAGGTATAACATGAGCAAAGGCCCCACGCTCCAAGTGAACAACCAGACAAGAACGTTCTTACCTCGCCTGCCTTGTCCAGGTGAAGGAAGCTGCCCTGCAAAGATGTTGCCAGCATGTCAGAGGATGACAGGGTCTGCAGATCCGCCACTCTATATGTACCTAGCTGCATGTGGTGTCTAAAACACCAGGTCATAAGGGTCACAATTAAATCAATGCATGAGTCAGTATCATTTGAACAGTTAGGAGAATAAACTCTGGGGCCGGTCTGCCATATTCACACTTCATATTCTTCCACAGAGTAGTTGGTCTTGCCTGGAATTAATTATTTAACCACCCTGTGCTTCACTTTCACATCTGTTGAATGGGAACAATTGTAACATGTATATTAGAGGTGTTGGGAGGATTAACTGAATTAATATGCAGAGCACAGTGCTTAGTACAGAGTTGGCTGTTATCTGCTAACTATTCCTAACCCAGGGAGGGTGTTCAGGGAATCCTAGGACATGTTCCATTCCCTATCTGTGAGGGACCATGTGGCTTCTCTATGCTGAACTCCTAAGGGATGTTCACACAGATACCACCCAGATGGTGTGGGGAATAAGGTAAATAACACCCACTTTATTAGGGCTGGAATATTGTTTGATGACAACCAGAAGGCTTTTTCATCTTGGTCCATGTCCTCAATGGCTTGCTGGGAAGGCACGAGGACAGTGAAATTCAAGGTGGTAGACAGCATGGGTTGAAGGGAAGCATTCTGAATCACAGGAGGAAAAGAAAGTGACCTATGTATTGTTAGAGGACTAGCAGGCCTGAACCACATGCTTGGCAGAGATGATGGCTTCCCAGATGAAGTAATTCCAGGGATACTGGGAATATGGTAGTTTTTCCACCCCAGGGCCACCCAACCACATTGGCTGATACTTTTGAGACTCATTCATTTTGGAATTTTCTGCAACATACAGGGAACTGTTTTCTGAGTGGGTGCTGAGTAAGCAAGACCTATTTTGGCACATGCTTAAAGGGGATGATCTGTCATGATGACTGGTTAGCTTGGACACCTTGGAGACAACCAGGCTGGGTGGGACATGATTCTTTGTTACATTTTCCAGGGGTGAATGGCAAGTTCTGGGTATGCTAAAGTACCCCCAATGTTAGGTCTAAGTCCAGATCTTGGTGAATTATGGCATGAATTGTCTTTAAAAAACACCTATGTAATGGACAATTTTCTTTCTATATACTTGAATTAGTCAAAAGTTGACTCTTTACCCTGGACCAGAAATTCCAAATCCTGGCTACGTGTTAGTATTGGTGTCCAAGGAAAGCCTCTTACTTACCAAATGTGGCTGCATGCCCTTCGTGATTCTAAAGTGTAGATGGTGGGGAGCCACTGCTCAAGTCCATCCCCTCTCCCTCCTGACTTGACCCATTTCTAGTCTTCTGTTGCACACATTCCAAATTTCTATAACAATATATGTTGTCAATGCTAAATTGCAAATGTAGGTATTCACATGTATCCACTGGTTAAATATAGCTCCCTCGGAGAGAAACGACAATTCCTTATTCATTTCGTGAGAGGGCAGGAGAGGCAAGAGAGAACACAGAGAAGGGAGAATGAAGAACCTCATCTCAGTGTGCCTCTGGGGAGCCTGCTGCTTGCTCTCCAGACTCTACTGCTCTCCCCTACTCCTGCTTCCCCATGCTGCTATGTACCCCAATTAGCTGAATTTTCATGCTACAGGAGCCACAGGTTGGGCATGCCTGTCAGACTGAGGTAAAGAATTAACTCCAGCTTCTCCAAGTGAAACAACTGAAGTTCTTTCAAATCAGAAATTTAGCTTGTAACAACACAAACACCCCGGCCCCAAGGGAGGTCCCAGAGCTCAGCAAACAGCCTCAAGTCAGGCCCAGTGTGGAGCACTGGCTTGGCACATGGGATAAAATTGCCTGGGGTTTCACTTTGGCCCAGCCATGGCCTAGAGAAAGCTTCCTGGGAGAAAAATGAATGGAGATGGGTGGACACTCTGTAGGGTCAGGCTGAAGCTTCAAACTTCAGCTTGTTTCCTTCTGTGGAAGGACAGGGATGTGGGGAAAGTGGAACTAGAGGGTTTTAGGACATGAACAGCCTATGGGGAATCCAAGCTCCAGGACAGGGTACAGGGTAGCTCCTTAGCTTGATGCAGTAAGTAGAAGTTCCAAAGAGAAAGGAAGGTGGGACCTTCCCTGAATGCAGCAGTGTGTGTGTGTGTGTGTGTCTGTGCACTCACACAATGCCCCAGCAGTGCCCTGGAGAAGCTTTTGGTTTCGGAGGCTGCAGGTTTGGGGGGGATTGCCAGATCAGTGATTTCAGTGGAGAGGAAGAACAAGAATCAAACTGTGAACAAAACAAAAAAAATAAGTGATAAGAAAAATGTGTCTAATTTGTCAGTTTACTTTGTTTCTCATTTTGACAACTGTTTAAATGTGAGTGACCTAAGAATAAGGTGAAGATCTTTCCCCTTGAGTTTACAGTCTAGTGCTGGAGGAGATAGATGGACGGGCAGTGACAGTTGGGTGTGATCCATACTGTATGAGCAGAATACTCTATACTAGTGATTAAGTTTTGGGCCCTGCACTTAGACAGCTACTGACACCTCTGGTAAGTATGTGTGGTTAGCCTCAGTTTCCTTACCTGTAGAATGGGCATCATAATAGCGTTAACCTCAGATAACTGTGAGGTTTAAATGAGATGCTGTTACATGAAGGACCTTATAAGATGCCTGGTTCACAGAAGGTGTTTGTGTGTGCACGCGCGCACATGCACGCACGTGTGTGTGCACGCACACACATACATACACACACACTCCTGATAGAGACAAGCCCTGGTTGTTCTGGGTGCTCATAGGAGGCATGAGACTTCTGACGGGGAGCTCCGGAAGCCATCTTAGCAGAGGAGAGATTAACTGCTCATTTGGTAAGTGTGTGAAACAGGTAGATTGGCAAACAAAAGTCAGGACTGCTTGGTGTACAGAAGGCACCAAATAAAAGTTAGCCATGGCAGCCTATGAAAATGAATGACCCAGCACCCACATGATGGCTAGTAACCATCTGTAACTCCAGTTCCAGGTGATCTGACACTCTCTTCTGGCCTCTGTGGGCATTGCACACATTGTTGCACTTTTATACATGCAGGCAAAATACTCATACAGATTAAATAAAAATAAATAAAAACTTTTAAGAAAGAATAAAAAATGAAAATGAGTAACCCATCAAATGTGCATGGTATCTGCAAGAAATAGTTGGCTTCATGTAACATCTCATAGACATCAGGTCTGTAGATCTAAGGCATCTATCTTAGCTGAGCAGTTCATTTTCCTGCTGGGGGCTCTCTTCATGACTTTGCACTCGAGGTCTTCCTTCAGGACTTACCATGGCTGCATTTCCATAGCACAGGAGACCATTCCCTTCATAGCCCTCTTGACAAACACAACTCCAGATACCAGAAGCAGACTGGCAGGTAGCCTAAGTAAACAAAGATGGAGGAAATGGCTTGCTTTTCCATAAAGTGTTAGGCCTGACTCATATCTATCTGTGAGACAGTAGCCTTTATGTATCTAAGATAAGAACTCCATATTCAGAGCTGGGAATATAGTTCAGTGGTAGAGCACTTGCCCAGTGTGTACAGGGCCCTGGGTTTGATCCCACCACACCACAAGGAAAATATCCTGCGAATTCAGGACTGAAAGATGGTGGATGTAACCCATAGACCCTCCAGTGTTCTAACAAGATGTTCCCGCCTGCAGCTTTTAGTCATAGCAAGGCTCTTTCCTTTTATCCCTGCCAGATTTAGCAAAGGAAGGAATCCAAGAGAGTTAAATTTTATTTTCAGAAAAGATTAATATATTTTAGTATAAGCTCATTTTGTGTCATGTTTTGAGAATGCTTAACTTCTGAAAACTTACTCTTTAGGTATCTGAGATTTAAAACCAACTGGTGTCCTGTATTTATATGGTGAGCCTATGTTGTTTCTTCCAAGGTTTGAAATGGAGTGAAAATAGTAATAGCTCTCATTTTGCTTAGGGACTCATTTGGACGTGAGAGAGATTTTCTCACAGCTAGGCTCAGATAAGAAATATCCATTATGATTTGAGTATGAAGTGTCTTCCCAAAACACCAGTGTGTTAGAGACTTGGTCCCTCTGCAGCATGCACAGAGGTGAGGCTTTGGGAAATGAGCAGATCATGAGGACTCTGACTTAACCAATGGATGACTCCACTGATGGGTTTAAAATTTAATGACATCATTGGGATGTGGTGGAAATTTTCAGAGATTGGAGAAAGTAGGACACTGAATGCATGCCCATGGACTATATCTTGTTTCCAACCCTGTCTTCTCTGGCTCCTGTTTGCTATGAGGTGAGCCACTTTGCTCCATCACATACTCTACGATGATGCTCTGCCTCACACACATACACAAGCCAAGACACACTGAAGTCAAGTGGTCATGGATAGAAACCTCTGAAATCATGATCCAAATTAAACCCTTCTTCCTTTAACTTGTTTTCTCAGGTACTTTGTGATAGTCACAAGAAGCAGCTAACATGACCTCATTTTTGTTCTTAAGAATTTTTATGTGTTTAGTATTGAAGAAAACATCAAGTGACTTACCAGTGGATGACATTTCTCAGTTTGTTCCAAGCATGAAATGATTGGGTCACAGTCAATCCCATTTCCTCGAAACCCTTTCTTGCACTCACATTCATTCTGTAATTCCAAAGACAAGAAAGAGATCACTGAAGCAAGTGTTCTCCAAGCCTTGCACTCAGTTGCACTGAAAAGCAGACTATGGAAACTACAGTTGTTCAACCCTTCTAAAGAGAGAGACTTCGATTCCAAAGCTATTGGTTTACACAGTCTAGGTTATGTTGCCCAATCTGACAGTTCCTTGGTACTTTCATTTTGAATTCTTACCTCACAAAGGTCTATAGAGGTAGTCTCAGAGAGAGAGATTAGATCCTAAAGGCCATCAGGCTGGAAAAGTTGGCCCCACATCTACAGAGAAAGGTTGGCCTCTGTGAACAAGAGGCTAGGTGACTCACCATAGTTACAGGACATTTTGAGAGATGCTCCATGGTCCCTGGAACTTAGTCGACCTTTGTGCTGGATAGCTTTAGTGTCAACTTGACACACCTGGGTTGCGGAAACCTCAATTGGGGAATGGCCTCCATAGGACTGGCCTGTGGCCAGGTCTGTGGGGCATCTTCTTGATTGATGAGTGATGTAGAGGGCCCAGCCCACTGTGAGTGGTGCCACCCCTGGGCAGGTAGGCCTGTGTTACATAATAAAGCAGGCTGAGCAGGGGCCAGGGAGCAAGTCAGTAAGCAGCGATCGTCCATAGCCTGTGCTCCCTGATGATCTGTGACCTGGGAGATGTAAGACAAATAAACTGTTTCCTCTCCAAGTTGGTAGAGATCAGAGTGTTTTGTCACAACAATGGAGAAACAAGCTAGAAAAACCTTGGCAGCCAAGAAGGAAAAACATCCTTTAATCCCCTCTGACCACATTAGTATAGGCCTCAATGTATGGCTGTTAAGCATCCAATAATGTTAGGTCCACCAGTCTGGTACTTTTAATTACCGTGTGTTGTGTAGAAAAAGCTTGGGAGTGGGCTTCTATCTTCCAGACTGTCAGACAGTGTCTGATTATCATATAGAAAAAAACTGGTAGTTTCTATGCCAGAGGTCATGTTTCAGATAAGGCATCTGTGTTTGGCGGCACTTCAAGGTGAGCCAGGAAGAGAGCAGGAGGCCCCCTGCTGAAAAGGGGAGTCTCTCCATATGGCACCGAACCCCTTAGGGCTATCCGGACATGGAGAACTACAACCCTAACAGCAGGGTTTCCCAATATCTCCCCCTGTTTGATTTAAAATGGAGAAGTGTCATCACAAGCATTAAGAGCCAACTCATCTATCTTGGGAGGATCCAAAGTTTGATAATTGACCATGACCTGTTGGTAGTAATTTTAGCAACGGTAGTAATTTGTCGGCAAAGAAATTGTATGAAACAGGGAGAAAGCATCAAAATGACACACAGCATGATCAGGGGGCTAACAAAGGGTAGGAGCCATGAAAACGAGGGATTACTAAACCAACCTAATTGTTCGGTGGGTTGAAATCTTGAAAATAGATCATTACGAAGTTTTTTGAGAGTGTTAACATTGGTTTCAACAACATTTGATTCATTTACAAAAAACAGCATTCCTCTCCCAATACCACACACGTCCCCCCATGTTCAGCAGTTATTAAGTCCAGTGCTCTTCTGTTTTGGAGCACAACCCCGGCAAGAGAGTTCATTTGTTGTTGGAGAGATTCGAGGCTGTCAGTCGTGGATGCCATTGCCTAGTCCAGCTTGTCTCAAAAGTCTCCTGCCAGGTAATGGGTTTGTACAATAGTGAGTTTCAGTGCCTCCAGCACCCAGGGAGAGGGCAAGTCCGAGCCCTACTAGCAAAGGGATGAAGATTTCTCTCCGTTGGCGGCTGTGAAGCAGGAGGGCGGCTTCCTCCTTCTTGAGTAGGTACACCTGGGGTGTAATCATTACCGGTATACAAAAGGTGGACAAAGAGGAATTAACACAGTGTTGGGCTTTTCCTTTGCACCATAGGAAAAGAGGAGGGGTGACAGCTGCGCGAAGTCTTGGTCAGCAAGGCCTGGGCCCGGCCGCTCCTCATGCCTGGCCCACCGCTCTGTGGCTGGCGAAGCTGTCTCATGGTGCGCACTGCATGTACAATGATGGAATGATGGAAGGATGAAGTCTGACAGCTCGGGACTGACGCATGCTGGATCGGGCATGCACTGCATGAGCAATGATGGAACGATGTGGTCTGACTGCTCGGGACATACATACTGTCATCCAGTGTTGATATTGTTTTCCATTTCATTCATTTTTGGCTTACTGAGTTTTTCAATCTCATGTTCATTTCCGTTTGGGTTTTCTTCACTCCTTCTATCTCTTTTGTGAATTCGCGTTTCAAGTCATGAATTGTTTTTTGATAGTTCATCAAGCCACATATTTGTATATTCTTGGGCGTCCACCACAAGTTTATGCTGTTCTTCTTTGAGTTAAGTTGTTTGTCTGTGTTTTCTGTAAGTTCTTTGACCATGTTTATGATTGTTCTTTTACATTCTGCCTCCTGGGTTCCTCAGGGTGGTTCTCATGGCTGTGTAGGTCTGTGGGACTGGTGGGTTTTGTTGGGGACATATTCTCTTGGTTTTTCATATCATTTGTTTTTTGCACTGCCATTTAGGAATATGGATGTTCTTTGTTGGTTGTGTGTCCAGTAGGAACTTGTCTGCTTTTGTTTAATTTAATTTCGGTTCTGTTTATATTGTTTATGTAGCTTGGTTGCTTTTTGCACAGGTATGGGAAATAAATTGGTGCATGTTTCAGGTTCTTGCAGGGTAGTATAATGGTTTTGGTGGATGGTGGGGCAGGGTAATAGGTAGGCTGATCAGTTTAGTGGGAGGGCTTGTCTGTGTCAGATAGATCATGAGCCAGTGGAGTCCCTGCTAGGGAGTTTAGCTAGTCAGCATTAGGAAGCTAGATGAAGGATTTGAAGTGGAGGAGTTGGGGACTGCCTAGGTCCAAGGCTGTCAGGGGACAGAATTGGGGTGGGAGAGAGGAATGGAATAGAGATGCAGTGGGCAGGATCTGACTTTCCAGAGTCCCTGGCTGGGAAAGTCTGGCCAGCTGCTCAGGTGCCAGGGAAGATGGTGGTGGGGGGACTGCCTGAGTAGGGACTTAATCTATAATCAGATGTTAAATAGTCTGGGTTAGGAAGCTAGTCCAGGGATCTGAGGTTGAGGAATTGGGGACTGCCTGGGTCCAAGACTGTCAGGGAATAGGGTGGGTGTGGGTGAGAGGAATGGAATAGAGACCAATAATTTTTGATTAAGCAGATGAAAATATCAGAACAGGCATTATTGATCCTCCTCAAGCTAGTCAAAGAATACCCTCAAATTCACCTTCTCTCATGGCTTCTCAGACCTTGGAAATGGTTCTGATTGGTCCATTGGTCATATGTTGCTCATACTTGTTCTGAACACCCATCTCCTTACAATCTGAGTTTGGATGTTTGCTTACTGTGCTGTTTGGGGCTGGTGTTATTTGGGAGGCAATCTTTTGGGGAGCAAAGTGGAATGGTACTATCATTTTCTCTCAGGAACCTCAATCAAAAGATGTCTGAAGCTGAGGGTGTGGATCAGTAGCGGGTCCCTTGGTCTGCATGTGCGAAGCCACAGGCTCAGTCCCCAGCACTGGTAAAATAATTTGGACCTGTGGCTCACTGCTGATCACTGGGCACATACCCAGCCTCCAGTCAGTACTATGCTGCTGATTGGCCAGACCTGGTCACACATCACCTATGTGGGGTAGAGTCAGTACCTGCACCATATGGTGAGTGAGAAACCATGGTGTGGCTTCCATAAGAAGGGGGAAGCAAGACGTGTAAAACAAATACAGAACACAAACCAAACACGGCTCGTGTTCTTCCTGGTTCCTGGTTGTTTATTCCCTGTGATCTAGCAGACATGTATGCTTCGGTGACGCTGGTCTGTAGCAGTCTCTGTGGGTGCTCGTTAGGTAATACGGTTAAATGAATTCTTGTTGATAGTGCAGCTGGCTGGATTTACAGTGGGCTGAGCAAATACACCCTAAGAGTGTTGACTCATGAATTGATGTTGATCTGGAGGATGGTCCCCAAGGCCATGCTGTCCGGCTCTGTACACAAATCCATTCTAGGTGGCATTTCTCTTCAAGAACATGGATGAAGATATCACAGATACGTTTATAAGATTTTTAGATTAAGCTGCTCATACAATGTTGGGCTTTTCAGTCAAGTTGCAGAAAAAATGTCAGTGATATAGAGAGCTAGAGAGATGGCTCAGTGGTTAAGAACACGGGCTGCTCTTCAGAGGACCTGGGTTCTATTCCCAGCACCCACATGGCAGCTAACAATCATCAGTAACTCCAGTTCTAGGGCATCTAATGCTCTCTTCTGACCTCCGTGGTCATCACACAACATGGGTATACTTCCATACATGCAGTTAATACTCATATATATAAAATGAAAATAATAAATATTAAAAAATGACAGAGGATCTCTAACTTTTTAGTTTTGCTGCATTAAGTTATGAATGACAGGTAATGGCCATCTATTCATTTAAGCAGCATTTTACTAGGACATGACAAGCTGTGTCAAAAGTGGAGGAAGGACATGATGTCACGTGAAATGACAGCTCTTCTCAAGAAGAGATAACTGGCTGCCTTATTCGGACATTAAAATAAAATAGCATAATGGATATCACACAAACAATTACAGTGTAAAAATTCAGTTTTCAAATTACAAGGAATCTAATTTCTGTAATTTTCTCTCTATAGATTTGTCATTTTAGAAATTCGTGCTTGACAGTGCATCATAGCATGGGACTTTGATGTCAGCCTGTGGACTTGATTGCTTTTTAGACTTCTTGGAAGGTTCAGCATTATATAGCTCTACTGATAATCATAGAAGAACAATACTCTTGATGATACCTCATTCAATTCAGATATTTTCCATTACATCAAGAGTGATGGGAAAACAATTGCCCTACCCAAAGTCATAGATACTCACTGTCACACCTGAACCAATTCAGACCCCTTTCCTTCTAGGGCAGGGAAGAAATTGTGCTGGCTGTTCTGTGAGGAGTGAAGGAGGATAACAGGCATCTCATCTATAGAGCGCTGTCACCTGTGGTACTCAAAGACCCCTCTGGAAGTTAGCTGGGAGTCACAGTGCAAATCAGAATCATGTCCCCCCACCCCCCAAGCCTGGGTCTGTTTGAACCCTCCTGGGAGCTGATGCTGGGCATGGTGACCAATGGTGGAGGAGGTAGCTTCATGCTGCATGCTGGAAGAAGGCCTCTAAGAATCCCCATGGGCTAGGACCAGGAACCCAAACTGACAGGATGGAATTCATAGAGCAATGTGAAGTTCTTCCTGATGTCCACAGCCCGAGCTGGATGAGAACAAGACTGTCTTCAAAGCAATTCTTGTGGAAAAGACCTCAAGTGTTTAATTGACCCAAGTTCAGGGTGACCCAGAAGAGCC